GTGAAGTAGGAAAAATCATCTTTACCATGGACCATTTGGGGTTGTCTTTTTTGCTGGATGGATCATAATGGGGGTTGCTTTTCTCAAACTGTGTGTGGTCTGGGTAAGCCTCCTTCACAATCTGAAACCAAAACCAAGTCTCCAATCACTTGCCTGTGTAGTCAGCTCCATGGCAATTCTTTCATCCAAGTCCAACTGTCACTTCTGGCCCTGCACATTCTTATCCCATCTGCCTTGCTTTAGAGCCAATGGGGGCTCAGATATCTATATATATAAAAGGCTAATATGCAAAGTGTCCCCTTGGGAGTTCGACTGGGAATTCGATCACTCGCTATGACATACGCTGACCACCAGGGGGTGGCGAAGAACGAAGGAAGGCCCTGGCCAGCAGCTGGAAGGCCCCGATAGGCCCTGATGGCTGGCCAGGCCTGGGGACCCTACCCGTGCATGAATTTCGTGCACTGGGCCTCTAGTCTGGAAATAATACACGGTCTAAGGCAAACGGGATGTCAACCCCATCTTAACAAAAATCTTAAAAGTATATTCTAAAACCAAATATTAAAGGTTACTGTTGGTTAATAATTTTATCCTGATAACACCTGGCTCGGAAGAGCTACCATCAGGCTTGTTTTTGAGTAAAAAAACCAAGGTATAGCAATGGAGAAACGTCTGGGACCTGAGATGAAGGCCTGTCTTGTCATAGTCCTGGTCACATGACAGGGCCAGGGCATTTCCCATATTCCTGTGAGGGCAGCGATGGGAGGAGGACACTTTTTTGGCTACCTATTGGAGCGTTCACCCTTTGAATCTATCTACCTGAGTAAGTGCTCCTGAGGGGGGAGGGATGCAGACCCAAGCCTGTACAACTCACCTTCACAAGTCCTGCGATGCCTGGCTCTTTGCAGTTACTGTGGTAGAAGAAGGCTTCTTGCCCCAGCTTCATGGCTCTCAGGAAGTTCCGGGCCTGCCCCAGGGAAGCAGAAACAAGAACTATGCTCCCCACCCGCTGGAAAACGCTAGTGTTAGCAGAACTTGTCTGCTTTTATTAGGTGAGTTTTCCTTTACCGTGATTTCCCCAAATTAAATTTTTTCTGAATCCTCCCCAGAGGGTATGCTTAGAGAGGGAGAGACAGAGAGAGACATCAATTGGTTGCCTCCTGTACACGCCCTGACTGGCGATCCTACCCACAACCTAGGTATGTGCCCCGACTGGGAATCGAATCCACCTTTTGGTGTGCGGGGCGACATTCCAACCAACTGAACCACCCAGTCTGTGCATCCCCCCAGTTCAGTTCTTGCCTTTGCCAAGATACCCAGACTTGTATCGGGACGCTGGCTAAAACACACACCATTTGTAAGGTGCATGCAATCTGAGTGATTATTTTTGAGGACATTCTTAGGTTTGGGTTCTGGGGAAAAGCAACTTTGGCTGAGATTTTGCTTCTGCATAAGGCCTAAGGAGGAGGCAGGCGTTCCTCCCACTCCAGGTCTCAGCTTACCTGATAGTTGCGAACACCATCCCAGCATGTCGTCTGCTTGGGCTGGGCTTGGAGATCCTCAATGCTGAACTAGGCGACAGGAAAGAAAGTCATTCGTTAAATAATCCTGGGCCCACTGGTAAGAATACGGGGAAGCTGACCACTCCCTCCCAAACATGGTGGGTGCTCCAGCTACAGTGAGAGTACGCAGTTTACTGGGAAATAGCTCTAGAGAGGCACCTGTATGGGTCGAATATTAAGTGAGCTTTGTGTTACTTAACTTTGCTAACTAAGAGGATTAGTTAAATGGAAAATTCAGAGCATGAAGTCATCTGCTAGTTATTTGTATTGGACATATTAAAATGTTATCTATATCTGTTTCCTCTGGGCTATTTTTAAATTGCTTTACATTCATTCCCTGGATCAGTGTGAGATAATGCTTGACAGGTAGCAAGAGAAAGGCAATTGGGTTGGCAAACTACAGCCTTCAGGCCAAATCTATCCCCAAGCCCGGTTTTGTAAATACAGTTTCACTGGAACACAGCCACACCATTTGTTTATCTTTCTGTCTATGCCACGTTCTTGCGACAGCAGAGTTGCAACAGCAGCTATAAGACCAGAGCGCTTAAGATATCTGCTGTCTGGCCCTTGACAGAAAAAGTTTGCCATCCCTGCCCTAGACAGAGGATTCACAAAAAAGACAGTGGATGGTAGTAAGTCCTGCTGATTTTATTCCTTGTTACCTGTTCCCTACCCTTCAAAAAGAAGAAGTTGGTAATGGAACCCTGTGGTGTCCCATGTTCATTTCTTATTTTAAAAAAAGCAAAACCAAATAGCTTGATGGGATTGGAGCCAGGGACATGGTCTCACCTTCACATCCACACCTTTCTCCAGGCGGCTTTCTGGCTCTGACTTCATCAGCCAGTAGCTGCTTGCGTTGTTCCCACATTTTTTAAGGGCTGAAGTCTCCTGAGGGCTGGATTTCTCCACCGTAGTTGGTGCCTCACCAGGGTTCTTAGTCTTGGTACGCTTTCCTGCTGGTCCCTCCTTGTCTGCTAGAGGAGAAGCAAGACAAGAGCTGTTATGACTACTGAGAGGTAAGCTTCCATTGTGGCGAAAGCATAGACTTTGGAGTCAGACCGGATTCAAATCCTGGATCTCTCAGTTAGCAGCAGTGGCAGCTCAACTACTGAACGTATTTCTTATCTACAATCATGGAAGAAGAATGCCTACCTCACAGGATATCTTTGGAACATCCATTCAATGGGGGTAAGAATACCTTCCATGGTTGTGGTTTAAAATGAAGGGTCCTAGCAGAGTACTTGGGCATACATTAATTAAGTCAGGGGTGGGGAACATCCGGCCTTTGGGCCACATAATGCCTGAGAAATCATTTAGTCTGGCCCTGCCAAGGCATTAGGGGTGAGTTAATTAAATGTTTGAACAAACATAGCAGGCTGATTTTCAAGTTGGTAATTTTGTATGGCCTGCGAATGATGTTCTAAATATCCAAATGGCCCTTGACAGAAAAAAAGTTCCCCACCCCTTGTAAATCAGTGTTTTTTCCTTCCCTTCCTCACTCTCTGTCTTTGCTGAAGCTATCCTCTCCAATGAGGAAAAGTAAGCCCCTACTCCATGGACTTGTTTTGAAAAATAATAGAAACAATGGCCTTAGACAGTGCCTGGCATTATAATAAATATTAGCAATAATTATCATCATCTCATACTTCTTTCCTGCTCGATCAGTGTGCTTTTGTGGCCTGATCTTTTTTGCTCCTTGAGGGTGTCAAGAGAAGTTGGAAGAAACAACTCATTCAGGACTTTGTAGACGAGATAAAGACTGGATTTCATCCTAAGAGAATTAGAGAAAATGTGCCTGGGACATAGTAGGCACTCAGTAGCTAGCAGTTGTGACATTCTTACTCCATGACAGGCCCTGAGCTCTGTTACCCTAATTGTAATTCAGTTCATCTATATATTCTATGGGATGATTTATGCATCTGGAACATATAGCCCAGATTACATAACCTGTAATCACTCTGGGCTTTCTGAATCCACACTTTATGACACTCGATTCACAGCCTCTGAATCAAGTCAAAGCTCCTCCTGTCAGTCATCACTAAATACCACTTATGGATATCGAATGCCCTGAGCATTCCTAGCCCGGTTCCTAGTGGTCCCTTTAAGGGGCACGCTAAACACCCATGTGTTGGTAAATAACACTGCCATTCCCCACAGAGGTACCTTCTCTACCTTGTTTTGTTCCTGCTATTCATCTACTTATCCTTGCGAATATAAAAAGGACACCTTGTTTTCTGTCTGTGGAAAGCCTTCCCATGCTTTAAGGCTAGTCTCAAATTCCACTTCCTTCTCAAGGACTTCCCGGTGATTCCTCCCTGCTCTCACACCTAGCGAAACAGTTTCCTGGACCCTTTCACTTGTCTGCATTCTCCGAGAGCAGGAACTATGTTCTTTTTTTCTTTAAACTCTCACGGAGGTTATCTTTTCATTGATTTTTAGAGAGAGGAAGGGAGGGAGGGAAACATCCATGAGTTGCCTCCCACAGGCATTCCATCCCCACCACCCCCCTCACCTGTCATCCCCAACCCCACCCCCCACCCCAGACTGGTTATGTGCCAAGCCTCAATCAAACCTGCGACCTTTCAGTGTCCAGGGTGATGCTCCAACCAACTGAGCCACACTGGCCAGGGCAGGAACTACCTTACTGACCTTAGTACATGCACTCTGTATCACAAATATTTTGTGTGCTTACCAAACAGCTACTGCTTGAATGAACAAACAAGCAGAGGGTCTCTGGGTATCAGCCTGGCAGGGAGTAGAGAAGGTGGAGGACCACAGAGGACTCTCCCTTCAAGCAGGAAGTGGAAGTGAACAGTATTCAACACCCTAGAAACGTTCTCTGGGAGGCTGCCTTTTTGCAGCCCGGGTGCAAGCTCACCTTGCCCAGCAGTCCCATGCAGCCTCTTCCTGGGTCTCGGCATGATCTCCCTGCACCGGGCTCAAGAGCGGAAGATTCTGGAATCTACGAGACACAAGAGGCAGCTCTGCACTTGCCCCCAGAGACGTCCGCCGAGCCAGATGGAGACAACGAAACTGAAAGAGGGTTTCAGCCCTGAGGCTCCTTAGCCAAGAACACAGACTGGGTTCCCACCCCTCAAATCCTTCTCCAATCATCTACACCCCCATTTTCCATCTCGCTTAACCTAACCCCTAAATTTTCTCCGACTTCCGACTTTCCTCGCACAACTTGCTCACTCGTTCGCCACTCTCTCTAGAACCCAACACACTAGTCCGCAGACAAGCCTTTCAACGCGCATCCTTCCGACCCCCAGGCCGCAGGGATCTCTGGGAGATGTAGTTCCTGCTCCTGACGCAGACCCGCCTGAGCCCAGATCGCATGGGGCCGCCGGGAGAGCGGCTGCTCCCAGAGTGCACTACAACTCCCAGAGTGCACCACGGCCCCAGCGTGCGGGGCAGGGCCGTAGCCGGGAATGGGGCTGCCGCCGCGGGGTTGGGCGGCGAGGGCCCGCCTAGGTCAGGAGCTCTCGGGCCCTGGCCGGAGCTGGCAGCGGAGCGATGTGGCGGAGCAGCGGCCTGAGACTCGGAGCGCGGCTCTGCTGCCCTCGCGGCGGTGCCCGGGCTCCCGCCGAGCGCGGCCACCGGAGCCTGGTCTCCTGCATCGACCGTAAGGCTCCCCCTGGGGAACAGGTGTCCGGGGCCCGGGCTGGGGCCGTGGTCTCCGCGCCCGCGGAGCGCGCTGTTGCCCCGGGAGGTCGGCGCCGCGGTCCCCCCAGAACGGCTCCCCCTGCCGCCTGTCACCCGTGGCGGTCACCCTATCCGATCCACCTGGGTGGCCCCCGAGCGGACTTTGCGCTCTCAGACCTCCGTCAGCCTGTTGAGCCCCTCGGCCTCGCCTGCTACCTCTCCCTCCTCCTCGGGCAGACATGGTGGCGGAGCCGGCTCTGAACCTTGTGGTCCAGGCCTCACGGTTCCTGAGCCCCGTCCTTTTCGCCGCCCTCCGCACCGCCTGGAGCAGCGATTTCCCACCGGAATGTCTAAAACATGCAGGACCCGGACTGCTTAGTCACGGGCATTGACCTCTTTCTCCTTAGATTGCAGATAAAGAAGTGGTAACAGCCGACACAGCAATAGCCGTCGGTGTGAATGGATCCAAATTATACCTTTATATATATATATGGAGTGCGGCAGAGTTTTAGCAATTAGTCTATGTGCCATGAGATGAAAAAGGTTGAAAATCGCTGCTCTGGAGGCGCTTGCAGATTCTTGGCTGACACAGTGTCTTCCTACCACGCGGGGTCCTCTGGCGCTAGATGGGGCTATGAAAGTACTTTGCAGCGAATACAGCTCACTCCTCGCGGCTAATGCCGTTCCTTTGTTGTGCCGACCTTCCTTAAACTTGGTGTCTATTAACAACCCCTTGATATGTTTCATAAGTTGACTTATGAAATAAATACAATAGCTCAGGGCCTTACATTTACCCTCACAACTCTGTTACCAGCCCTGCGTTTCGATAAGGAGTGGGTGCTTAGACAGCCGAAACCTGTGACTTTGGTGGTGGTGGTGGTGTTTTTTGTTTTTAAATCATAACAACAGGTCATAAAGGCAGTAAGAATGTAAAAAGCCTGGTGCTGGTGGCAATAGAGGGACAAAAGCTCTAGGTAATGCAAGATTTGCTAATCAGACTTTATACCTTGACATCGGTAGCTAGAAAACACGTTTACTGTCGACATTCCTAAAAGAAGAGAGAATATTGCAAGTGGGAAACGACCAGAGTTTACGGAGCTGAGTGTCCTCAGGGGTCAGGCAGGTAGCGTAGGTGTGAATAACAGGGAGGGCGAGGAGCCAGGCTGACAGCAGTCTGCGAATCCCTTAGACCAGTGGTTCTCAACCTTCCTAATGCCGCGACCCCTTAATACAGTTCCTCGTGTTGTGGTGACCCCAATTTCATTGTTACAAATTGAACATAATTAAAGCATAGTGATGAATCACAAAAACAATATGTAATTATATATGTGTTTTCCGATGGTCTTAGGCGACCCCTGTGAAAGGGTCGTTTGCCCCCCAGAGGGGTCGTGACCCACAGGTTGAGAACCGCTGCACTAAGGAATAGGAGACTGTTTACCTCTCAATGTCCTAAACCACCTTCACAAGGTGCTGCCCCAGTCACACTAGAACTTGTTAAACAGCAGTGGTTCTCAACCTTGGCTGCACATTAGAATCACCTGGGAATCTTTATAATAATTTTTATTTCTTAAAGTATTACAAAGAGTATTACATATGTCTCCTTTTTTCCCCCCCTTGACATTCCCCCGGCCCCTACCCCCCGCCCCCCTCCCCGCCCCGTGTCTTGTGTCCATTGGTTAATCTTATATGCATGCATATAAGTCCTTCAGTTGATCTCTTAATCCCCCCCTCCCAAACCCTCCCCAGGCTTCCCACTGTAGTTTGACATTCTGTTCAATGTTGCTCTGCTTCTGTATCTACCCCTATTCATCAGTCTATACTGGTCCCCTTTATTTGTCCCAACCTCACTGGAGTAGTCTCAACCTCACCAGGGCCGTCTGAAAAAATCAATAAAATATATTAAAAAAAAAAAAAGATTCCCAGATGATTCTAATGTGCAGCCAAGGTTGAGAACCACTGTTAAACAGGATTACCTCCTTGCCAGAGCGGACAGGGAGTGGTTCTGTCAACAAATAGGTTAAATATGGGGATTTCCAGAACCTTGTGGTATAACTTCAGCCAATGAGGTGCTTTTCCATATTCTTAAAGGAAATCGTCTTTTTTAAATGGTAAAATAAGAGGACATTGCCCCTTCCATAGATCGTCCTGCATGTTAAAATATCAAATTCATGGAAGTGATCAACAAATGTTTCTCATTGTTTCATTGCATATTTTAATGTGAAAAATGATTTTTAAGAAAGCTGGTTTTATGATATTTCAGTATATATTACGCCTTTATCTAAAGTGTCCTCCTTTGGCAGATACTATCATTTTACACACGAGGAAATTTATTTCTTTTTCTTTTTTAAATATATTTTATTGATTTTTTACAGAGAGGAAGGGAGAGAGATAGAGAGTTAGAAACATCGATGAGAGAGAAACATCGATCAGCTGCCTCCCGCACATCTCCCACTGGAGATGTGCCCGCAACCCAGGTACATGCCCTTGACCGGAATCGAACCCAGGACCCCCCAGTCCGCAGGCCGACGCTCTATCCACTGAGCCAAACCGGCTTTGGCGGAAATTTATTTCTTGTCTAGTGGAGCCCCTCGTTTTACGCTGTGATAACTGAGGTTCGAGCTGCACCTGACTTGCGGACGTTGCAGGGTTAATCATTTCAGAACCAGAGCGCACATGACTAATTCCTTGTCCGGTGCTGCACCTTCCCACGCCAAGATTCCTTGGACACCAAGATTCTCGAATAGGATATTAATTCTGTACTGTGGAAGCATTTAAAGATTCATATTATTGGGAGCTTTTCTTTGTGTGTTTTCACCCCTTATTGTACTTCAGTTGCTGTACAGTGAAGGCTTTCCTTGTCTCATTTGGACTCTTTTTCCACTTGCCTCACACGGGAGGTGCCCAGCACTGCCCCAGAGAAACTCTGCCACCTGGACATGCTCCCTGCCGGAAGGGCTGTGCGTTGGTGTTAGGCACTGAAGTATTTATTTTGTTTGTTTGTTTTTGTTAATCCTCATCTGAGGTTATTTTTCCATTGGTTTTTAGAGAGAGTGGGAGAGAGTGGGAAAGACAGAGAGAAACATCGATGTGTTTGAAACACATCAACTGGTTGCCTCCTGCACCGGCCCCTACCAGTTGCCTCCTGCACCGGCCCCTACCAGGAGCCTGCAACCTAGGTACGTACATGTCCTTGACCGGAATCCAACCTGGAACCCTTCAGTCCGCAGGCTGACGCTCTATCCATTGAGCCAAACCGGCTAGGGCGGCACTGAAGTCAGTTTAATTTTAAAGTCTGCACTACCTTGCCAAACAGGAAACGTATTTTAGATCTTATTTCACTAGCTGGTTGACTTGCAAGCTCTGCTTTCCAAGTCACTCCTCTCTCTCACTCGGTGCAGTTTTCTAAAAAGTTGTGAAAAATACATAATGTTCATGTCATGAGGGGAGCTGACTGGCTAAGAAAAACTTGTAATGATACTGTAAATCGAATAGTCACTGTTTTAAGCAGGCAGATGCAGGTATCTTCCTCCCGAGGGCACCACCCTGATGAAATACACGGGGTGCAGTCTTCACGTGGTGTTTAGGCTCTTCAGAAACTTCTCCCGTTGGTGCTGCTCAGTTATTCATTGTCCTTAGCTTCTAAGTATCTTAGAGCTAGAAGTGAAGGAGTTACTCAGTCACAGCACCGATAGTTAGGATGGAGAGTGTTCTGAGAATCCCCAGCCCATGGGTGAACACAGATTTAGTAAGGCCTTAGCCATGCTTTCAGCACTGAAACGCTTCCATCAACACTTCTCAGTGAGCGACCTTGTCCTAATTTGCAACGTTCGCCAAAGTATACAGCTTTTCCTTTCCCAATTGATCTTTTAAAGTGAATGTTGGTACAGATGGACAGCTATGGACAGGTACCAGCATACATAGATAGGGCAGAGTTTTCCCAGGACACTAACTCAGAACAGGTAGGACATCCTAAAGGAAAAATATGTTTGCCGTGTTTTGAGGGTCAGTGTGTGTTTATTATTATTTCAACTAGAGGCCTGGTGCACAAAATTTGTGCACCCACGGGGGTCCCTCAGCTCGGCCTGCACCCTCTCGCAGTCCAGGAGCCCTCGGAGAATGTCTGCCTGCCACGGAGGCGGGAGAGGCTCCCACCACCACCGCTGAGCTCACCAACTGTGAGCCTGGCTTCTGGCTGAGCGGCACACCCCCTGTGGGAGCACACTGACCACGAGGGGGCAGCTCCTGCATTGAGCGTCTGCCCCCTGGTGATCAGTGCGCATCATAGCAACCGGTCATTCCACCATTCAATCAATTTGCATAATAGCCTTTTATTATATAGTATGTGGAATTTATGAGGAGGAAGAGATAAGAGTATTGAAAGAATAAACTGATAGGTAAATAAAGTCAGCTGATCCACTTGGGAGTAAAGGAAGAAGGAGAAAGGTGACACTACACCAACAGAACTGGCTGATGGTGGGTGAGGTCTGTCTTTGGGCGATAAGGGAAGGACTGTGTATGGGAAATGCTGTAGCAAGTCCACTGTCCCACCTTCCTGGTGACCCTCGTTAGCGGTCCTCTTCCCGGACCCCTGTTCTGGAACTGCATGCGTGCAATCTTGCCCACAGCTTCCATCGGACTAAATGAAGAACAGAAAGGATATCAGAAAGTGGCCTTTGACTTTGCAGCCCGGGAGATGGCTCCCCATATGGCAGAGTGGGACCAGAAGGTAGGAGTTTTCCTTGTGGCCCGATGTTCCAACAATTGCCTTTTCTTCCTCGGCTTGTATTCCTAAGCGTTTGGTGTTTAATCCCCACCTATGCGTGTGAGTACTGGTAACGACGTGATTCCTTTCCTCGAGGCACCCTCCTCATCTTGCATGAACCTGTTTTGTTTTGTTCAGTTTACACTGTACAAAGACTCAGACCACTTCTAAAACCAAGGCAGTGGTAGATAATGAAGAAGCGGTAACGCCGGAAAACCGGTTCTCACAGAAGGCATTTTAGCTGATACCCCTGCAGAGATGACAGATGGGCATACTAAGTGGAGAGAATCCCCCAAACTCAAACATCTTAACCCCTCCATGAGCCCTCTAAAGCAGTGATTCCCAAAGTGGGCGCTACCGCCCCCTGGTGGGCGCTGCAGTGATCCAGGGGGGCGGTGATAGCCACAGGTGCATTTGGGGGCGTATATCTTTCTGTTTAATTGCTATTAAAATTTTTAAAAAAAATTAATTTCCAGGGGGCGCTGAGTAATATTTTTTCTGGAAAGGGGGCGGTAGGCCAAATAAGTTTGGGAACCACTGCTCTAAAGAAAAGTCCACCCGTGGCTCACTCCCTGCTGACCCCCTCTCTCTCGTACATAGGAACTGTTCCCCGTGGACATGATGCGGAAGGCAGCCCAGCTAGGCTTTGGTGGGGTCTACGTACGCACGGACGTCGGTGGGTCTGGACTGTCCCGGCTGGATGCCTCTGTCATCTTCGAAGCCTTGGCGACGGGCTGCACCAGCACCACCGCCTACATAAGCATCCACAAGTGAGTGCCGCACCTGAAAAGCACAGCGAGGTCTCACCTGGGTTGACTGGGAAGTTTCCGATAAACAGGGAAAAGGTTTATCTTTTCAGAACCAGACTGTTAAAGTGCTTCTTTCGCAGGAGGTCTGCTGCTGCCTGCTGGCCTCTCGTCTGTTATCTTGTATGTTCTCAGAGAGTCGGGCCTCCTGCCTTCCCCCACGGCCTAGGTGGAGAGGGGCCACACACCCATCAGGGCCCTGCTCCCCTGTTCCTCAGCCCCCAGAGGAAGCCTCCAGGACTTTGGGAAAGTGCAGGAAGCTCTGTGAATTCTAGGGAGCTCCGTCAGCCTAATTAGAAGCAGCGTGAACATCCAAGCGAGAAATACTTAGCCTTGGTTGTCTCTGGGCGAGACGAGTTCCAGGAATAGGTTCCTAATCCAGGCCTTTCCATTAAAGTCGAATTGCCTCAATTGTGACTTTTCCCTTCTCACTCTCTCTTCTGCTTCCATCTCCCTTCCTGCCTTTGTTCCCTTTCCCCCTCCCCTGCCCCCTCCCATTTCCATCTTTATCTCTGTGAATGCCTTCCCTTCTTGCTGTGCCTGTCAGCATGTGTGTCTGGATGATCGATACCTTTGGCAACGAGGAACAGAGGCACCGGTTTTGCCCAGCACTCTGCACCATGGAGAAGTTTGCTTCCTACTGCCTCACTGAGCCAGGTGGGTTTGCCGGTCTGCAGGTGAGATGGCACTCAAGTACGGTCACTGAGCACTCCCCGTGGTCGGCAAACTGCGGCTCGCGAGCCACATGCGGCTCTTGGGCCCCTTGAGTGTGGCTCTTCCTAAGCCTTAGGAGTACCCTAATTAAGTTAATAAAAATGTACCTACCTATATAGTTTAAGTTTAAAAAATTTGGCTCTCCAAAGACATTTCAATCGTCGTACTGTTGATATTTGGCTCTGTTGACTAATGAGTTTGCCGACCACCGCCTTAGCCCATTGATACACAGAACCCGGTACTTGCTAAGAGGAACAGATTGTCGTGACTTGATGTTACAGACTAAGAAGCCTCGAGGGCATGGTTTCTCCAGGCTCCTTCTAGGACGGCGGTCGCCAACCGGCGGTCCGAGGTCCACTGGTGGTCCGTGAGGTCTGAAAGGTTGGCGACCGCTGTTCTAGGAAGCTCACTGTAAGCTAGTGAGATGAAGATGGACACAGTCTGATTGTGTATGCAGTGTTTACCCAGCACAGAGAGTTCCTTCGGCCATCTGGATTTTAAAGGACCAAACTCTAAGTTTGTTTATATGGGAAGGTTTCCTAGGAGATGGGAACAAGCTGGAGCTCCCTTCACTTCACTGACTTTCTCCGCCCCACCCTCTGCTTTCTCTCCGATCCCTGCCTTAGGAAGTGGGAGCGATGCTGCCTCCCTTTTGACCTCAGCTAAAAGGCAAGGAGATCATTACGTCCTCAATGGCTCCAAGGTACCAGCATGCTCTCCTCCCAGAACCACTTGAGATTGTTCCCATCTTCTTGCTGACAGCGCCTGGGTCCTTGCTGTCTGCCAGTTGATATTCCCGTAGGATTTTCACATGTTGGGAAGAGAGCCTCTGACCCGCTTCCCTTTATTCGCCTTCCCTGTTTCTGTCTCTGCTGGTCTGGTTCCAGGTCATTTCATTCATTTTTGTCTATGCTTCTTATAGTCTCATCAGCTGGCTCCCTGCTTTCCCAGTCAGTGCAGTTTCTTTTTTGCCCCTTCTTATATCTGTGCCATGGTACCTCTTAGCGCAAGTATGTCAAACTCGCGGCCGGCGGGCCGCATTAAACGAGGCCTGCGGCCCACTAGCCACGAGTTTGACATGCTTGTCTTAGTGTCCTGTGGTCGGGAGGCCCCAGGTATTTTCCCGGATGGCGGGCTCTGAGAACCCAGGCGTCCTTGATACCTGTGCACACCCCCTGCCACCCCACAGGCCTTCATCAGTGGTGGAGGGGAGTCGGACATCTATGTGGTCATGTGCCGAACGGGAGGACCAGGCCCCAAAGGCATCTCGTGCATAGTGGTTGAGAAGGGGACCCCTGGCCTCAGCTTTGGCAAGAAGGAAAAAAAGGTAAGTGCCTATTGACAAGAAGCGACTCAAGCTATGAGACGCCCCTGCCAGAGCACGCTCCGCTCTGACAAAGTAGCTTCTCGTGTTTTCCAGCTGGCCTTGGAGGCAGTTGCTTCTAGTAGGATTTTGACAGGGACATATAAAATAGAATAAGGCACCGTCAACAAAACTCTAGGCCACTGGTGAAAGTGGCAGTTTGCCCGTCAGTCCACAGCTGCCTGTTGCTTCAGTGTGAGTGATTTCCCTGTCGTCTCTCCTCTTTCCATTGTGGCCTGTATTTCTTACCCGGCTTCTGTTATCCCAAGAATATATACGTATGGAAGACCTGGAGTTCACTAGAAGTCTCGGGAATGATGTAGATGGGCCACTTTTCTTCTGTACGTAAAAATGAAGCATAACTCATTGGAGATGACTGGGTATTTCAGCCATGCTCAAAGGAAGAGTATTCCCATGGTGCTTTGAGAAGACATTGCGAGGATTAAGAAAGCTCATCACCAAGCTGTGAATAGTGTAGCTGTAATTATGTAACTGGCTGGTAATTAGGGTGAGGCCCATTCAGATTTGTTAGGCCAGATGACTGGCACAGTCATGTACCTGCGATATGTACTGTGACGCTTAGTAGGACCTTTGGGGAGAAGTCAGGTAATGAGATAGCCCCTAAATAGACTTCTGGGGACCCGAGCCGCTGGCCTTTGCCCCTCCCTGCTCCCTGGCCCTCTGTCCTGCCAGCACGTGCTTGGACTTGGCATATTTAAAACATTGTGCAGCTAAGACAGTGGTTCTCAACCTTCTGGCCCTTTAAATACAGTTCCTCACGTTGTGACCCAACCAGAAAATTATTTTCGTTGCTACTTCATAACTGTAATGTTGCTACTGTTATGAATCTAATGTAAATATCTGATATGCAGGATGGTCTTAGGCGACCCCTGTGAAAGGGTCGTGCGACCGCCAAAGGGGTCACGACCCACAGGTTGAGAACCGCTGAGCTCAGAGCTTTACACCAGCAACTGTGCGTTGCCAGGTGGGGTGGAACTCGCAGCCAACCCGCGCCGTCATCTTTGAAGACTGTGCTGTCCCTGCGGCCAACAGAATTGGGAACGAGGGGCAAGGCTTCCTTATCGCCATGAAAGGCCTGAATGGAGGGAGGATCAATGTTGGTGAGACCTCGAAGGGAGAGGGCAGGGAGGGCAGCGGGCTGGGCGGGCAGCACTGTCCTCCTGGCTGAGTCGAAGTGTCTGCACTTTCCTTCCTAGCTTCTTGCTCTGTTGGGGCTGCTCATGCTTCAGTCGTCCTCACCCGAGACCACCTCAATGTCCGGAAGCAGTTTGGAGCGCTCCTGGCGAGTAACCAGGTAACTGCCCGGTCCCAGTCCAAGACCTGGTCTGTGGCCCACGTTCTCTGGCAGAGAGTGGAATTCTGCCCAGTCTTAGCCGGAGCCTGTGCTCTCTGTCTATCAGTAGTTTTTTCCAGAGGCAGTAATGTCCGTGCAGGGCCAGTGCAGTGGACTGGACTCCAGGCAGTACATTTCCTCTGCAAGAGGCAGGAGGCTTGAGACTGCGAGTCACTCAGGAAAGGTGCCTCGTTGGAGACCTCACAGAGGCCCCGGATCAGGTGCTGCTGGAAGCCGCCTGCTCCACTGGTTCTCGTCTCCCCTCTTGCCCTAGTACCTGCAGTTCAAACTGGCTGATATGGCCACAAGGCTGGTGGCCTCGCGGCTGATGGTCCGCAGCGCGGCGGTGGCCCTGCAGGAGGAGCGGGAAGATGCGGTGGCCCTGTGCGCCATGGCCAAGCTCTTTGCTACAGACGAATGTTTCGCTGTAAGTGATGGCGCGCTCTGGCTCTCCTGCTAGGTCAGCTCCTGGGATGCTGCAGGGATGCCTTGCTGCAGGGATGCCTTGGGGCTTAAGGATGTAAGTTAACTCGGGACGGCTGGCTTTTCACCTGCTCCAGGCCGCCACACAGGTTACTCGCTCACTGCCCTTCGGTTGTGTGCTAGATGAGACCTGCCTTCGGAAGAAGGTGCAGAGCAGCCCAGTGCCTCCTGTGTTTACAATGTCAGGAGCACAGCCATTCCACACTGAGGCTGTGTTTTTGCCACTAGATGGCACCTTAGCTTCATAGAATCCCAGCCGTGGCGGTTGCAGATGGCTCCTCCCTGCGAGCCAGGAAGCTGGGCCTCTGCTCTGCCTGTCGAGTGGGGACTGATCCGCTCAGCAGGTGGACGTCCCTTGTCTCTGACCACAGAGCGTGCAGCCCCTTTCCTGCTTGGCTGGTTATCCGGAGGTGGTTCTTTGTAACATTAGTTCGCAGCAGATTGCGGGTGAGGGTGGAGAGAGAAACCACTGGTTCCGGCTTCCTGAAGTAAAGATGCCTAATCTGTGTCCCCCTGCAGATCTGCAACCAGGCCTTGCAGATGCACGGAGGCTACGGCTACCTGAAGGACTATGCCGTCCAGCAGTACATGCGGGACTGCAGGGTTCATCAGATCCTGGAAGGTAAACCTCCTAGCGGCGGTTCTCTCCCTCCAGGGCACTCACAGGATCACCAGCCAGGCCCCAGCGGCGGCATCTTCCTGCCTGCCGCCTCCTGCCCTGCTCCAGGAGGGCCTGTGCTGCCCCCAGAGGGCCCCAGCCTGGGAGTCGCTTCTCTTCTCGTCTTTTTCTTTGTAAATTTTAGAGAAGGCTTAACCTGAGGTGATACATGAGAAAACATGTTGAAAACTCTAGCAGCGACTATTCTTGACTGTGGTAAAGTAAGTACTTGGTCCTCAGGAATCCCTAGACTTCTGTACAGTGATTTAAAGGTCAAATGGGAGCCAGTGTGATCACCCACTGCCTTTCCAACTGGTGATCAGCCAGATGGTCTAAAGGACATTTCTGTCAATATTGCTACTGCACTTTTCAGTGAAATAGTCATGAGTGTATAGGCATCTCGGTAAAAACACGTTCGGGTGGGAATTGTGTGAGGCTTACACTGTAAGCTGTTGGCCTTCACTCTCCACACCAGTGCACACGCCTTGAAATCCCTTCACTGTGGCTCCAGCTGGTGCAGGTGTCCGGGGTTGTTACACGGCTGGGACAGCAGACGGGCAACAGCTTATCTAAGCGACCCTCATTGGAAGAATGTGGGGCTGCTTTCATGGGCGTAGCAGAGGCCTCTGAGCTCGGGCTTTCCTGCCCTGCCAAGTCGCCTTCTCAGGCCTGAGCACGCCTGAGAGTTGCCTGGAGGGCTTGTGAGAACAGGTGGCTGGGCCCCACCCGAGTTTCTGTCTCAGGGTCTTGGGTGGCCAGAGAGTTCGCACCTGTAGCAAATTTCCAAGTGGGGCTGCTGCTGCTTTTCTGAGAATCATACTCGCACACCTCATCCCCAAAATACTAGTGTGTTTGTGCGCTCAATTCTAGTGCTCACATGAGTCAGTCTTCTCCTCTACTGCATCTCCTCCTGTACTCCTGCCGTCACTTTCTCACCCAGCGTTATGAGTGTAGGAAACTTTACCTCGATTTAACCCAGCCTTTACCCCCTCAGAGTAAGTGGGAAAAGCCAGGCACTTTCGTGTCAGGCCGCACGTCATCCACTCGGGGAAAAACCCGGCACTGATCTTTATCCCTTTGTCTATCATGGACTTTGTTATTGGATAAATCAGGAATTTTAGACTTGATTTTATTTGAGATGTATGATCTCATCCCTCATAGAGGTTCCTATTTCTCTTTGCATTAAAAGCCATTGTAAAAATGAAGCAAGCCATTCACACCCACACACACACACACACACACACACACCCTTCCCCTGTCAGGGAAAATGTTTGTTCTTTTAAAATTGAGCGTTCTGATTACCAAAGAAATTTGTGTATTGTTGAAAATTTATAAAATATAGGATAAGTTAAAAAAAAAGTCACTTGTTTCCACATCCAGAATTAATAATTTGGACTCCTTTCGTGTGTAAGTCCAAAAAATATCTCCTTTGGTCTTTTTCTATGTTTCTTTCGGTACATTAAAAAAATAGAATTATACTATATATACACCATTTCTTCTTCTTTTACCTGATATAAGCACTTTACCATCAGGAGAGGTTTATTTATTTAAAGAATAGTTTATTGATTTTTATAGGGAGAGGGAGAGAGAACATTATTCAGCTGCCTCCTGCATGCCCCCTACTGGGGACAGAGCCCACAGCCTGGGCATGTCCCTGACCTGGAATCAAACCAGCCACCCCTTCAGTTCATGGGATGATGCCCAACCAACTGAGCCCCACCGGCCAGGGCAGGAGAGGTCTTTGTAAAAGTAAATTTATTCTTCACTTTCTGACCTTTCTCTGTACTTTGAAGAGAAGTCTGTGGCAATTTGGTCCCCTGCCGGGATAAAAGCAACCATCGTCGTTTGCATCATGCCTACCCCGAGCCAGGCGTGCACACCCTGGTCAGACGCTGCCGAGTTTTCAGGCACACTTGGCTGCTACTCACTCCTTCATTCTTACTCCTCCCTCCTCCAGGCAGCAACGAAGTGATGAGGATGCTGATCTCGAGAAGCCTGCTTCAGCAGTAGCGCTGGACGCGGTGCTCTTCCACGGTGTGGACTGTGCACTTGAACTGGTGTTGAGTGGCCTCCGGTGGACGGTTCTGTTACAGATGAGTCATGAATAAGGTCATAGGACTGAGCCCTCCTAAGAGGACCTTCCTCGGTGTCGGCGCCGTGGGGCCGCAGCCTCATCGGAGGCTTGGCAGAGCGGCCTTGGTGAGGTGTCGCAAGGCCACTGCCGTGTTTCCTGAAGCACAAGGTGCCTGATGATGACGCATCAGCGACCATAGTCCTCTCTGCAGCCACATGGTCTCGATCTGCCTGGGTGTGCTGGTTCACCGGATCCTCCTCCAGGAAGCTGGGTGCTCCGTGCAGGGTGTTTCTATTGATGAAGCAAAGGCGTGGGGAAGGGGAAATGGAGAAAAGTGGCCTGTCTTTTCGGTCCCCTGCACCTCAGCTGGAGACACAGGTTTCTGTGGGCGCACTTCCTCCGTAGCACACCTCCGAGTAAATCAGGATAAATGCACCTCGGGAACTTGGCCCTGAGCTGTGACTTAGGGTGTCCGGACATCTGGAACACCTGAATATCAAGGCCTGAGGCGACCTGGAACTTGGAATATTTGTGTTCTTTTTAAGGAGCATCTAGGAATAGTGTTCACAGTTTATAGAACCCTTTCTAGGAAGCACTTGGAGTATATCTTTTCTATCTACGTTTTTGTCTTCTTTTATGAAGCTGCTTCTCTTTTTAAAGGTCTTTGATTGATAAATAAAATTTATCCCTTTCTGTACCATCTCAAGCTCCACTGAAGTGGGTTTTTATTCTGTCTGTCTAAGCCTTTACAACTATTTTTAAAAATGTATTTAAAAATATTTAAACACTTAACTAGATTTTGGAGTAATAATTTTTTAAAAAATCTCTCTACCTAATTAACTTTTAAAAAATAGTTCCCTGGACCCGGCCAGTGTGGCTCAGTTGGTTGGAGTATCGTTTCATATACCAAAGGTTGCAGGTTCGATTCTATCCCTTCATCTCTATAGAAAAAATATCCCAGATATTTTGTTAACTACAAGTCAGGGTTTAGAGCAGGGGTCCTCAAACTTCTTAAACGGGGCCAGTTCACTGTCCCTCAGACGATTGGAGGGCCGGACTATAGTTTTAAAAAAAACTATGAACAAATTCCTATGCACACTGCACATATCTTATTTTGAAGTAAAAAAACAAAACGGGAACAAAAACAATATTTGTATTTGCATGTGGCCCGCGGGCCGTAGTTTGAGGACCCCTGGTTTAGAGAGACCAAAATATACATCTTTAGCTATGACAAATATTTTCTGTTTTGGTTGCGTATTTTCTGTAAGGAACTGTGCTTGGCACTGCAGGGGGACAGGGTATGGGTGTGCTGCAAACTTGAAACAATTTCTGCCTTCAAAGGCCTTATTTACTAGCTGTAGTACAAGGAAATGGTAGGGCTACAGAAGAGAGTGAGCTGGGAAAGTGATTACATAGGATGGGCATCAGGATTTTAGAGATGCTTAGGTGGGGCGTGGCCAAAAAAAGGTTGGGAACCACTGATGTAGGGGAAGTGTGAGAAAAAGACAAAACGAGAGATAATCAGAGGCATTTGAAAGTATTAAAAGCATACCTTTAAACACATCCCTGTCTTGGGATCTGGATAAAGAACTAAATGCCCTCTCATGTTCCTCTCCCCGCTCTAGAACTAGCTTCTCAGTCTCCCATGGAAACGATGCTCTAATTCACTTCTTCATTTGCCCTTGTCCAGAGAAAGTCCAGGTAGGCACCAGGATTCTCTCCCCACCCAGCGGTAAAGAGCTCTCTCCCCGCCTCAGTGATGTCTGCTGTGGGGGTCCATTGCCAGGAGGTCCAGGTGCTGTTGAAGACGGAGATCCAAGAGCTCATGACAGACACCAACCTGAGTGACAGCATCAGGACTGGCGTCCTGGAGCCAGAAGAGGTGCCAGCACCAGTGAGGATGGTCATCCCGTGACCTTCCGACCTTCCTCAGGGCCCAACGGAAGCCAGGCCTCCGAGGCCATCCCAGCATCGATGTTTTCTTACCGTCGGGCCTCAGTTCCAGCAGCAGCCCTGGGCAGACACAGTAAGTGCAGCCGTTTCCCTGCCACAGGGTGCCCGGCTTCATAAGGTGCACGCCCAAGGCCACGTTCTCTGAGGAGGGATTCAGACAACCATGCTCAGTCAGCAGAGCCCAAGCAGGCACTACGCATAGCCATTGGGCACAGTTGCAAGGTGAAGGTTCAGAAAAGACAAAAACAGTTTTCTCTGCCTTTGAGACCCAACCTTGAATAATCCGTGCTGAGCGTTCCTAGCAAGGATCTGTTGCCTCAGAGCCCAGAACATGACCCACCAAATGTCTCCTACCCGATTTAGAACTCCCCTGCCACTGGCCTACAGGGTTCGATTCCGGTCAAGGGCACATACCTTGGTTGCAGGCTCCTCCCCAGCCTGGACCCTGGTCAGGGCTCGTGCAGGAGGCAACCAATCGATGTGTTTCTCGCACATGGATAGTTCTCTCTGTCTTTCCCTTCTCTCTTCCACTCTCCCTAAAAAGCACACGGTCCACAATAATCCTTGTACCGTGCATTAAGCACAATCGTAATGAGCATAGCTGGAATACTTAGGGTGCTAGGCCTTCTTCAAAATCACTTCCCTTATTTTATGTGATTCGACCTTATAATAACCTCATAAAACAGGTTCACAGTTCATCATCATTTTATAGACAGTCAAGAAAAAAGCTTACGGTCACGATGCGATTAAGTCACAGAGCCAGGATTGGATCCCGGCAGCCTGACCCAAACCCTGTGTTCTTCAGCATCGTCCATGTGTAAACATCACAAATACAGACATCCCACGAGTGCCCACTATATCTCTGCACACTTCTGGCAGGAGCAGGAACTGAGGCTGACCGTGACTAGAATTGGGACGGACTGTTTGTTCTCTGAGTAAACAAGGATGCGGCGGCTCTCCTAGGAAAATCAACATTGACATCGTCCTCACTCGGGCAGGGAAATGCTTGCTAATCCGCACTGACCTCCTCAATGCCTCCTCACAAAAAGGTGGGATGGGGAGAAGCACCCGCAAGTTGGCCAGAGACGACGTTTTTGTCTTGCTTTTAGGATGATGACGGCCTCCTCGGTGGAGAGGTGGTTCCGAGAAGGACGAATTGCCTGTGAGGAAAACATAACCCTGTAAGTATTGATGTTCTTGGTGAACGGAGGCGCAGAGATGAGTCGGACGACAGGATACGGAGAAGCAGAGGGCTACCGCTCGCTCAGGCGAATAGCAAAGATCCTCTGATGCCTCATGGCTTTTATTGGGGGTGAGCACAGCAAATAACAATGGAGTGCAGCAAGTAACAATGATTAACAATGGGGTACAGCAAGTGACAATGATTAACAATCATGCTTTATGAAATCATCAGAGCTAAGTTATACATTACACTATTAATTTCCTACATAATACAAAGACTCTTTCCACCTGCAGCAGTGCACCCTCCCCTGAACTTTCTATGCCCTCATGGACTATTCATCACGTCAAGGAAAGTTCTGCCTCGGAACAGTAAGTCTCGCGTGCAAGACTTTGTTCTGACGCGGCCCGCTTGCAGGCTCACGCCTTCTCCCGGCAGAGCGTCCTCTTCTAGTTAACTTCTTTCCGCTTGACCGCTACAGTAAGTATATGTATTTTAAATTAGACTCCATTTTAGGGTAGTTGTTCCATTCATTTCTGGGGCCACTCATTGGTTTCCCCAAACAAAATCCATCTTTTTGGCCTTACCTGTGCCAATGCTTAATGACTACCAGTCATTAAGTTAAGAAAATACCCATAAATCAACTCTTTGTCTATCATCTACCAGAACATGTTATCTCTGTGATCAAATATAACTTTTTAAAGATAATTCCAGTGTAAGCGGTTTAACTGTTATTTGATGTTATTTAATATACATCAAATATGAATTAGAAATCAGTGTCACGCTCTTTGTTTTAATTTGTATCATACAGAAAGCCTTACATTACTGTACTTTGCCAGTTTTCTATTCTTACTATTAAAACAGCCTTGTACTAGAATGCTGGGGGGATGCGCAGACAATACTGATTTGCACATATGGTTACGGCGGGTTCTGGCAGGTTGAAGGAGCTGGGAAACACTGCTGAAATGTGAAACATGAGAGGGTCTCCAAGTCCAGGCATCATGGCCCGTTTCCCTTGCTGAGCCCCAGTCTGTGTGGTGCTTTTTGCACAAATAAATCCAAGTGTCTTGTGTCCCCTCCTCAGGAAGGTTGTCAGTGAAACCCTTCAGGAAGGTTCTATTTGAAAAGTTGGATATCTCATATAGTTTTTAAACAGACACAAAAGCCTTCAGCTCTCAAGGGAAAAAGAACTAGGACGGGTTTATCTTCTGCTCATAGCACCTGACAGTTTACTAACTTGATACTGAAAATAAACCACATTAAAACCAAAGGAGAGGGGTGTTTTTGCTTTGTTTTGTTTTTATTTATTTAGTTTTTAATCCCTGCTGGAGGATGTGTTTACAGAGAGAAAGCAGGAGAGAGAGAGAGAGAGAGAGAGAGAGAGAGAGAGAGAGAGAGAGGTTGGGGGTGAGGGGAGACAAACCACTGAGCCATGCCGGCTGGGCTGAAATTGGTTGCCTCCCATACGCACCTACCCACCAGGGATCACACCTGCATCCTAGGTATGTGCCTGACCTAGAATCGAACCCACACCCATTTGGTGTAGGGGATGACTCTCCAACCCACTGAGCCACCCAGCCAGGGCATTCTGTCCTTTGTCTCTGTTCCCTTCTACTCCATGTCCTCAGGGCCCACTGGGGATTGAGCCTGTAACCCGGGCATGTGCCCATGCCAGGAATCAAAACGTAACCTCTTGGTTCATAAGTCGATGCTCAACCACTGAGCCACACCATCTGGGCTCATTGTAAAGTGTACAGTTTAGTGGCCTTAAGGACATTCACATTGCTGTGTGACCATCACAACCATTCATCTCCAACACTTCTTCACCGTCCCAAATGGACACTCTGCGTTCCTATATTAGTATCATTATCCAAATCATATCATGGATGAGCCTCTGTTTTCTCATTGGACAATAGCGTTGATTAAAAGGAAACTCCTGCTTATAAAATGCGAATGTAAGTAGAGTGAGCAGTGTAAAACCTAACAGAACTGAAGGTCATACATGACAAGTCTCCTTGCCGCCAAATCAAACTTATACTTAAAAAAATATTGGACTAGCTCCAGGTTACAGCATAGTGCTTAGACATGTATGTACCATACAAGCAATCACTCCAATACGACTACTACCCTCCGGTCAGCATGCATAGTTTTACCACGTAATTGACTACATTCCCTAGGCCAGTGATGGCGAACCTATGACACACGTGTCAGAGGTGACACGCGAACTCATTTTTTTGGTTGATTTTTCTTTGTTAAATGACATTTAAATATATAGAATAAATATCAAAAATATAAGTCTTTGTTTTACTATGGTTGCAAGTATCAAAAAATTTCTCTATGTGACACGGCACCAGAGTTAAGTTAGGGTTTTTCAAAATGCTGACACGCCCGCCGAGCTCAAAAGGTTCGCCATCACTGCCCTAGGCTGTAACTTTACGTCCTGGGTGCTGTCACTTTAAGACGTCTCCTTCTATCAGTTATGAGCCCGTGGAAGACTTCCAATCATCACTCACTCACAGAACCAAGGGCAGTGTGCATGTCTTGTACCCTCACCTTGTCAGGTTCTTATATTGGAAGTGGACTTACAAGGGAGACACTATGAGAGCAACCTTTCAGTAGAACAGGAAGAAGGGGGCCTGTCTACGGCCATACCACCCTGAACGCGCCCGATCTCGTCTGATCTCGGAAGCTAAGCAGGGTCGGGCCTGGTTAGTACTTGGATGGGAGAAGGGGGCCTTACCGGAACACCAGCTCTTTTTCCTTGAGTAGGCGCCTCCGAGAAGGTCTCAGGTGGGGCTAAGGGAACACAAAACAACGGTCAGTACATTGGTGGCTGCTCACCAGGAGTTTCCTAGGGAGCTCTGCCCGATGTGGACAAGGGGCCATGGTGTAGGGAGGTGGCCGGGTACCAAGTATGGATGAGCCACTGCTGGGTCATCGTACTGGGTGGAAAAAATGGCAAGGAAGAAGGGAAGTAATGGTATGAGTTGAAAAAAAAATTTTTTAATATATTTTTATTGATTTCAGAGAGGAAGGGAGAGGGAGAGAGAGAGAAATATCAATGATAAGAGAGAATCATTGATTGGCTGCCTCCTGCACGCCCCCCACTGGGGATGGAGCATGCCACAAGGGCATGTGCCCTGACTGGGAATCGAACCCTGACCTCCTGGTTCACAGGTCGATGCTCAACCACTGAGCCATGCTGGCTGAGCTGAAAAATCTTTTTATAGATGTTTTTCTTACACATGGGAAATGGAATATGTGGCAATTATTAAAAGTGCATCAAGTTAATGATGGAATTCCCACAGTACCTTCTATAGATTTATCCAGAGGGTAGACCTGGATTGTTCGCCAGTAGAAATCCTTCTGGACAGACTGGATTTCGTGGGCTTTTGGAGATCCTCCTATAGGAAAAATCCATCAGGAGAGATGGTGAGAAAGGCATTCACGCCACACAGAGCTATGGACACCCTGCTGGTCCAAGACCAGAGAGAAATTAGGAATCATTATCAGTTCAATATTTAGTACCCGTTGCTTAAGCAGGGGTCCCCAAACTACAGCCCGCGGGCCACATGCGGCCCGCCAAAAACATTAGTTTTTTTACTTCAAAATAAGATATGTGCAGTGTGCATAGGAATTTGTTCATAGTTTTTTTTTAAACTATAGTCCGGCCCTCCAACAGTCTGAGGGACAGTGAACTGGCCCCCTGTTTAAAAAGTTTGAGGACCCCTGCTTAAGAGGTTCCCAGAAGTGTCCTCTGAGTCAAAGCTGGACTTCAGAAATATCCCGGAGTCCACTTCATATTTTCCCCATGAGTATTTTTCTAAGAGCTGAGGCGCCGAACATCGCAGGACACTAGATATGTACAACTCTACATGACAGCTGTAAAGAAAGGAATGAACATGCCGAGAGGACATGGAGAGAAGTGTCGCCTCGCCCGTTAGAAGGGACAGCAGTCCCTGGGCCCCCATGGACATACCTCCGCAACACGAGGCGAGGTTCCCCATCCCAAGATTTGTCGCCACACAACTAGCACCTTCTCCTGCTAAACCCTCAGCACAGAGAGTGGCAGTCAGGACCAGCCACCAGCTGGATGTCACCCAGGACCATTGTGACAGAGCGTCCCAGGGCCTCCAGTGTGACGTCACAATGCACCTGCGGGCGCGGCCGCTGTGGTTCAGAGCCAGTGTTTCACGTACTGAAGGCCAGGGGCACCCATCCTTCCTCACGGTCTTTGAGCACAAGATGGATTAAAAAATGACCTGCCCTCAAAATATAGTCAATTGTGAGAATTTCAAGTTGAGAAAAATAAAGCAGACACATCCATTCTCCCATGCGAGTCTCAGACAATTCTTTTTCTCAAGATATCTAAAGATTCCACTCCCAGCAGCCACTGGGGCAAAGAACCCCCACTTCATCCGATAACAGTAGTCTCACAAAGATCAACGACTTTTTTTTAAATCCTCACCTGAGGATATTTTTCCATTTTAGAGAACATGGAAGAGAGAGGGAAAGACAGAGAGAAATATGTATCGATGTGAGAGAAACACATCAATTGGTTGCCTCCTGCAGGAGCCCTGACCAGGCTGGGGAGGAGCCTGCAATCGAGGTACATGCCCTTGACTGAAATTGAACCGGGGACCCTTCCGTCCACAGGCCGACGCTCTATCCACTGAGCCAAACCCGCTAGGGCTAGACCAATGACTTTAAAGCTTTTTATCTCAAAGAACAGCCAGTTCTGTCTCCTCTGTTTCCTGTCGCCCAAACTGGTTTCCCAAGACTCCAGAGCCTTCCCCCAGCCTGAGCCCTGTGCTTTCCATCTCAGGCTGTCATTCTTTTTTTAAAAAAATATATTTTATTGATTTTTTTACAGAGAGGAAGTGAGAGGGATAGAGAATTAGAAACATCGATGAGAGAGAAACATCGATCAACTGCCTCCTGCTCACCTCCTACTGGGGATGTGCCTGCAACCAAGGTACATGCCCTTGACCGGAATTGAACCTGGGACCCTTCAGTCCGCAGGCCGACACTCTATCCACTGAGCCAAACTGGTTAGGGCCAGGCTGTCATTAAGGGCCAGGATCCCACTCTCTCCTGCAGCTGCCGAAACCACTCACATGGTGAACAGGCCCTTGCTGAGGGCTTGCTATATGCCAGGCGGGTTTTCAGGTACAAGGATCCAATAGTGAACTAGACACTTTGTCCTACAGAGAATAGATTTGTGGGAATTGAGTACTTTTTTTTTTTTGAAAGGAAGTGATGGATGGCATGATTTTATTGAAATGTTTTAGTACAATGTTGGAGGAGCTTAAAATCTTATATTCTAAACCAATGCAAGCACTACAGTGGAACTGCTCCTAAACTGACATACCTGGGCAATGAAAGGTAATTTAACTAAATATAACTTAACGTGGAGACTAAAGAATTTTGGTGTATTTATCTTTCTCTGCCCTACCACCCCCCTGACAGCTAGACATACTCCGAGTCTTCTTCACTCAGCAGAGTTGCACAGGACAGACTCATTTTGGTGGTCGCACTTAACGTTTCCACATCATGAGTAGCAAGGAATGGAACATGCTGGGACGAAGACAGAAGCCCATCTGTTTTGAACAACTGACTTGATCAGATTACAATCTCACTCTTTCTCCAAAGCCATTTTAAGACCCAGCAAAATGCTAGTTTCTGGAACGACTGAAATGATACTTTCTGACTTCAACCCAACCTCCGCTGTAGGAAGTTTGAAACCTTGAAGGTTGCTGTTCAAGTTTGCCAATGACTTAAATGGATTTTATTTTCCACCCACAGAACTGAGGTTAGAGAGTTTGTTCTGTACAAGATTCAGCAGGAGGGACAGACTGTCCTTGATCATGCCGAGGCTCTGTCTACGCAGGCAGATCTTCCTCTCTGGGGCTGAAGAATCGAGTTCCCTGTCCATCAATGTGCATATGATAAAATTCACGGAGTCAGAGCTAGACTTCTGCCCCGGAGGCCACAGGCATCTCCCATTGTAAATAAAGGGCCACCTGGCGGATAATGCACGCCTCGGTGAATTTCCCGTCCAACCTCACTTTGGGCTACTTTTTTGAACATTATCTTATCAGAGCAACTAATGTCTACTTCTCTGTACTTTTTTTTTCATAAGCATCTCCTACTCACATTTTTCTTGTAACAGCTTTAGTTAAAATGACCAGTTGCCTTGAGGCTTGCTACTTCCAATTACAAAAGGCAAAAGAACATGTAATTGAAACGAATAAAATAATGTTGACATATGCGTCTGGTGGCACGCATCACATTTCACCTTTTGATTTATGTCAAAGCAAAATCAGGGCCCTTGCTATCAAGTAGCTGAACGGAACTCCCCTGCTCTCCGGTACATGGTGTGGCCCAAGTTGTCCTCCTTCCCTCCCACTCGGGTCTGCGTTTCTGTCTCAATCGGTTGGTTGGTGACACCCAGTTTAAGGAGGGATCCTCCCACCTCACTTCCCTGCGTGCAGGCGGCCCGACGCCCCGTGGGCACAGAGCGCTGTCCTCGCTGCCCAGAGCCCAGCCTGTTGCTCGGCCCTCCCTACCCAGCAGCCCCCCGGACTCCCTACGGGGCTGGGGTGGCTCAAAGTTCCCAGCATCAGCACGCCTGAACCGGGTTCCCCTGCGAGGAGGCGGCGGGAGCAGCGCGGGACCTTGGCACCCTGGCCTCCAGCTATGAGTTCCCGGAGGCACCTCAGGTGACTCATGGCGCCTACCTGGGGCAAGGGCCCCTTTGGTCTGGCCGCCCTCCTGGACCCTCAGATCTGCCTGAGACGCATCAGCCCCCCTTACAGGCTCTTCCCCTCCAGCTTTCTTCCACCGGCACCTTAGTGATGCCCGCCCCAAGGAGCGTTGGTCCCCTGCCAAGTGGCAGGACACCCTGTCCTTCCCTGAGCCTGGTGCCCGAGGGGCTGCCACTGGTCACTGAGCCCTGAGCCCTCCCCAGACCCTGCCCCAGTGCCCTGCCCTGTCTGGCTCCCGAGGAGGCTCCTAGGACTGAAGGTCTCCCCCCAGCTTTCCGTCCTGACTGAGTGGAGGGTGGGAGGAGAGGTTGCAGGGGGCAGAGGGAGGGTGTGGGAGGGGGGGAAGGGACCTGGGCTGGCTGGAAGCCCTGTGTGTGCCCAGCCAGTGCCCTGGCCGCTTGCCTGCCTGGAGGGCGGCGTTCTGGGCCATAGAATCGCATGAGGCCAATGCCGTCCCCTCACTGTTATTTCTCCTCTTTCCAGCCCACGTCTCTCATGGAAAAGAATCATGAGCGTCTTTTTCTTGCCATTGATCTCATCAGGCTTTGCTCCTCGGGCAAAATATAAAGAGAAAGAGAAGCTTCCTGTCCAGGAAGCTGGGCCGCAGCCACACCAGAGCAGGTCTGTGGGGGAAGGGGTGGGAGGGGTACTGGGAGGAGGGGAGGGGGTGCGGGGACTCTCCTTTTCTGGAGAAAAGAGTATCAGAAGCATGGACAGACCTAGTGTGTCCTGCTAGCAAGAACGTCTTCTGCTGGGCTTCAGCCGTCTCTCCTCTCTCTTCATCTCTGTCTCTCTGCCCACCTCTCTCTCTCTCTCCCTCTCCCTCTCTTCATCTCTTCATTCTCTCTCCTCCTCTCTCTCTCTCTTCTCCTCTCTCTCTCTCTTCATCTCTGTCTCTCTGCCCACCTCTCTCTCTCTCCCTCTCTCTCTCTTCTCCTCTCTCTCTCTCTTCATCTCCTCTCTCTCTCTCTCCCTCTCTCTCTCTCTCTGCAGGTTTAATTGGTCCCATCTGACCCCTCTGGAGCTGAAGGACCGCACGGTGGGACTCCAGACGCAAAGCACGCCTGAGAGTAACCCGCACTTCACACTGGAGGGGCACAAGTTCCTCATCTTCGGGGGCTCCATCCACTACTTCCGGGTGCCCAGGGGGTCCTGGCGGGACCGCCTCCTGAAGCTGCGGGCCTGCGGCTTCAACACTGTCACCACGTGAGTCCGCCCGCCCGCCCTCTGGGTCCTCGCTGCCCACGGGGTTAGGGTGTCTGCCTCTGGCTCTGAGCTGGGTCGGGAGCCCGGCCGAGCGACCTTCCAATGAGCCCTGTGCAGCAGGAGCCTTTTATGATGAGGGCCCCCTACCTCTCAGACTTCCTACCACAGTTCTCCTGTGCACACGGACATGCGCATGTGGAGGAAGGAGAGTATGAGCATCTAAGGAAACACGGGCCACTGAAGTGAAGGTGAAGGGAGTGAAGGGAGTGAGTCCTGCGGCTTAGGGATCGGACAGACCTGGTCTCAGTCCCAGCCCCGCCTCCAGCGATCCCAGCGCAGGCCCTGCTGTCTCCTCTGCTAAGGCAGAGTAGCAGTGGTCTGGTCGGCTTGTGCCGATGATTCCGTGGGATAAAACCTTTATCTTATTTCTATGGAAAATGCCCCTCCCAACGAGGGCACGTACGTGTACTTCAATGATGGTGGCAACACAACATGTAAGGCCAGTTGAGTCCCGCAGAAGAATTTAAGTAGAAATGTGACAGGGTGAACTGTAAATGGAACAGCACACATTTAGCGCGCCATGGAACACGATTATGGCCTGGTGACCAACGGTAACGTGTACTTAGGGTTTACTGGTGGCTGGGCATTTCCTAAGCAATTTCACAAAATCGCTTCCTCCTCCTGAGTGCCCTGGGAGATGGGCAGTTGGATTCCCCTCCGTGGGAAAGAGGCCGAGGCCCGGAGGGTCGGCCTGCTGGGGGGGGGCACCTGCTCCAGCTGTATTTTATAAACGATGCATGTGTTTGTTGAGGATGTCTGTGCTCCATCGGTTGGCTGCTGAGTTCTCTATTCTTGTTTTGATTAATTCCTAGCAATAACTTATTGGGCATATGTAGACATTTATGTTTTTCCCTTCTCTTCACATTTTGAATGGGTATTACAAAGAATGGGTGTTGAGTGGGATAATTAGTGCATCCATCCCAGGAATCTAGAATCAGGATTATTGACAGCTTAGATCACGACTGGGTGGCAGAGAAAGGAAAATAATTATTGGAGCAAGTTGAAGCTTGTTCCAACTTGCAACTTGGGCATGGGTTTGGGGCTGACCTAGGACTCGATAGGAAAGAAATAAGATGCTTATTGTACTTCCCTCTCTCCTACCACAGCTACGTCCCCTGGAACCTCCATGAGCCACAGAGAGGCACATTTGACTTCTCCGGGAACCTGGATCTGGAGTACGTGCTGTTGCTGCTCCTGTGACCTGGCCTGGGCCTGGGCCTGGACCTGGGGGCAGGGAGGGGCTGGGGGGTTGATGAGGGACCATCCTGGCCTCTCAGCTCTGCTTGGAAGCTGTTCTCAGGGCCCTGTGCCAGCTCTGCACCGGGGCCAGGTGCTCTCCAGCTGGGAACCTGCTACTCCCAGGTGCCCAGGCCCCCCCTGAGCCCAGTCTCCTCACTGCAGCCCAGAGGAGCCTGGTCCCCTGTCAGCCCTGCTCTGCAGTGGGGTCCCTCCCCCCTGCTGGGAGGGGACTGCCCCTGGAGGCAGCAAGGTGGTCGGGGTCAGGTTCATGTGAGGACCCCGTCCCCTGTCTGACACCCCCCCCTCCCCATGACCCAGTGGGCTGTGCAGATATGGTCCTGGGCTGGGAGCTGGTGAGAAGCCAGCTGCAGGGGTGAGGGCTCGGCCTTCCCTTCACTCTGCCTGTCTCTGGTTGAGAGGAGGGCAGGCCAGCAGAGGATCCGGGCAGCTCTGCCGCCTGTGGCGTGTGCTGGCTCGTCCCCACCCCCCGGCTCGGATGCCCTCAGAGTGGCCGCCTTTGACCTTCCCAGGGCCTTTGTCCGGATGGCCGCGGAGGTCGGGCTGTGGGTGATCCTGCGTCCGGGCCCCTACATCTGCAGCGAGATCGACCTCGGCGGCCTGCCCAGGTGAGCGGGCTGTGAGGGGAGGACTGTGATGGTTTGTTTTACTAAAAGTAGAGCTGGAATCTGACAGCCCGGAGCCCGGTGTTCTCAGGGAAGGCCTGCGGTGGCCCGGTGAGTTATGGGCGCCGCTGTAATCCTTGTCCCGTCACAGATGCAGGGCCTGAGAGCTGGTCCTGGTGCTGTGGGCGCCTGGGCGGGGAGAGGCAGCATCGGGAGGTCACATCTCTTTCTTCCTGTTCCGTCTCTGGTCTCTGTCCGGGGTGGGAAGCTTTCCAGAGCGGAAGGAGGTTCTGACAACCTCTGGACTTGCTCTGAGGACCTCCTACCCCCCGGCTTTTCCCTTATTTTGTTAATGGAAGACCATGTTCTCCACTGAGCTGAGGGACCTCAGCTCCCCTTTGTTCCCCCTCATCTTCTTTTGCCTTCTCTCCTCTGTGCTGCCGGCCTTCAGTGCAGACAGCTGAGTGCAGGCTGAGCACCCACGGGCTCGCTCCTGTTCACTCCACAGCTGCCAGGTGTGTGCAGCCCACGGCTCGGCTCCCGGTGGGCACTTTCCTCCCGGTGCTCAGTGAGGCTCTGTCTCGTCCGGGATGAGCGTGTTCTCCCATCCGGCTCAGGAGCAGCAGAGGCCTGGCCGTGAAGGAAGGGGTATTTTAGCAAAGCGGGATGCCCTGGGCCGCTCAGCTGCAGGCCCCGCCCCGCACAGGTGACCTGGGTACTGGGGAGGCGTCCTGGCGCCTGGAGGCTCAGGTCTCAGAAGAGATGGAACCCTGTGCCTAAGGTACATACACTGGGCTCCAGGAAAAGGTGTTTTATTTTGATTGTTTTTTAATCCTCACCTGAAGGTATGTTTTTATTGATTTTTAGAGAGAGAGAAAGAGAGAGGAAGGGGAAGAAAGAAACAGAGAGAAAGAGAGAGGAAGGGAGAGAAAGAGAGAGGGCGGGGGAGAGAGAAACATCGATGTGAAAGAAACATCATACGTGCCCTCATTTGTACCCTCATATGTGCCCCAGTACCCTGACTGTAGGTGCCCCAACCGGGGATCAAACCCACAACCTTTTGGTGTCCTGGGTGATGCTCCAACCAACTGAGCCACCGGCCAGGGCTCAAGAAAAAGCTGTGTGTGTTTTTTTTTGGTTAATCCTCACCTGAGGATATTTTTTCCATTGCTTTTTAGAGAGAGTGGAAAAGAGGGGTAGAGACAGAGAGAGAGAAGCATGGATGTGAGAGAAACATGGATGTGAGAGAGACACATGGATTGGTTGCCTCCTGCACATACCCTGACCAGGGCTGGGGATCAAGCCTGCAATTGAGATATGCGCCTATGACCGGCATGGAACCCTCCACCCTTCAGTCCATGGGCCAACACCCTAACCACTGAGCCAAACCAGCTAGGGCCAGACAAAGGTTTTGAATGAACTGAAAGGAATGGAGGCGAGCAGTCAATGACAGGTTAAAGAGCTCCTCACTAAGATGTGGGTGTGCGGGCCGTAACGGAGCTGCCGCCCCTCCTAAGCTGGGAACTGTCACCCCGACACTTGTCGGTCGGACAGCCCAGTAGGACGGTCCAGAGAGCATCTTCCAGGTCCCTTGAGGGCTGCAGGAGAGCAGAAGACTTAAAGCTGGGCTGGAGGGAGCTCCGGAAGGAGCTGGCGGACCTGCAGGGCCCGGCCTGCCCCCTCCCGCCTCCTGCCTTCCCGTCTCAAGCACTGAGCTTGTCTCCTTTCGCCCCCAGCTGGTTACTGCAGGACCCAGAGCTGAGACTGAGGACAACCGACAAGGGCTTTGTCCAAGCGGTGGATCGATATTTTGATCATCTGATGGCCAGAGTGGTTCCTCTCCAGGTAAAATCGCCGTCCTTTCCTTCCTTCTGACATTCGCTTCAGGGAAACAGCTGGTTCTACCTATTCATAGAGCAGGCTGGGCCCGGCTCTGAGAGCTGAAGCTGACACCCTTGCCTTCGGTCTTGAACTCTAGACCCTCACCTTAAGTTCAGCCTTCTCCCCAGAGCTTCTGGGAGCACACGCATCACCCCGGCCAGAGCAGAGAGCGTGGGTGTATGGTGGTGGCTTTGAATGTACTTGATGTTCTCTAGGCTCACTGCCCTTTCTACTGCTTATTTCTACTCCTGAGTGATCTTGGCTGTTTTCAACAGTCACTACACACACATGGCGAAAAGGCTCAAAGAGCACAAAGGAGATTATGGTAAATACAAGCCTCCCCTCGTCACCTTTCCCAAAGCGATCGTTACCTTTTCCGGAGACAGGCAGCCAGTTTCACCAGAGTTTTGTGTGTCTTTCCATAGATTTCCTACACACATGGAGGCAAATTATCTATGCACACACTTACACATGCGTATGTATTCTTTTTTAAAAAAATATATTTTTATTGATTTCAGAGAGGAAAGGAGAGGGGGAGAGAGAGAGAGAGATAGAAACATCAATGATGAGAGAGAATCATTGATTGGCTGCCTCCTGCACCCCCCCCCACACACTGGGGATGGAGCCCACAACCCTGGCATGTGCCCTTGACTGGAATCAAACCCGGGACCCTTCATTCTGCAGATCAACGTTCTATACACTGTATACTTTTTTATACGAAAATTTACCATTCTCACTGGACATTTTCCTTTTGTTACTTGAATATATATATTTAAAACCTGCCATTCTTTTAGCTACATATATATTTTTATTGATTTTAGAGAGGAAGGGTGAGTGGATAGGGTGGGTGTGTTAGCAGGTGAGTTTGTCGGTATGAGCTCTCCTACTGAAGTCACTCATTAGCATGAGAAGGAGCGGGAACACAGTGGATGTGGTTATGAAGACTGAAGACTAGGGCACTGGGACTCCTTGTGCCGCCGAAGGGCCTGCAGGTGACTGCCCATCAGAGGAGAGAGGAGAGAGCGTGCCTCCAGGTCAGGAAACAGCTAGGAGCCAGGTGCCCGCACCAGCTGGCTCAGGGTTCCCAGCCCCCGAGACCCCAGGTTTTTCACCCTTAGCCTCACTTCCCCTTTCTCTGCCCCCTCAGTACCGCCAGGGAGGCCCCGTCATCGCCGTGCAGGTGGAGAACGAGTACGGTGCGTTCGCTAAGGATAGAGCGTACATGCCGCATCTTCACAAGGTGAGAAACCCTGGTTGGTCTCCGTGTGTTCATGCTTCCTTCCTCCTCTGCCTCTGAGTCTGCTGCGGGCTCTGGTAGGCTCTGTGGGTTATGCGGATACAGGGACCGAGTTCCGTTTCTCTGACTCTACAGGATGGTCAGGGCAATTAAGATGCACTTGAATGACTTTATTCTGAGATAAAATATGATGTTAAAGGATCTCCACGACCCACAAGTTTCATGAAAGCTGGGGGTTGGCGAGCAGTAAGGAAATAATGCTTCGTGAACTTGATGATGATAATGGCTGTCACATGGCAGCTCTCTGACCTGTAGCACCAATAGTCTCTCTTCCTGGGGGGATGCCTCAGGCCAGGGCATAACTGCCATCCTGCCCGTGTCCTTGTGGGAGGGTCAGCGCCTCCCTGTCCCTGACGGCCCACATTCAGGAGCCTGATTGGCTCCCTTGTCAATGGGATCTCTCCCCCGGGTTGCTAAGCCTGAGGCAGGGTGAGCTCTGTCCCCAGGGGAACCTCAGGGTGGCTGGCCTGGCAGGCCGGCAGTTGCCAGCTGGGCAGGGCAGAGTGATCAGGTGAGGAGAGAGGGAGGAGGCAGGGCTGGGCTCCATAGGTGTCCAGGCTCCTGCCCACACCTGTGGCTTCTGCAGCTTCGAGGGCTGTGAGAAATCCCCTCCCTAACGTTTCTCAGGGGCTCCACATCAGACCCTTCAAGTCAATCTCATTCAGTGAGTATTATTTTTCCTTGATTTCAAAACTTTGCTACTCGGCTTCACTCCCAGTCCCAGCTGTGGCTCGGTGCCCATGCAAGGCACACGTAGGGTCCTCCGGCCCTCTGGTCACCGTCGGCTTCTGAGGCCCTTAGCAAATATGAGTTTTTAATGAGATCCCCGTGCCCCCAAAGCCATGGTGGGCTTCCTTGCTTCCTCGGAGTGTCCAGGTAGGACCCACGTCTGTGAAGTTTCTCTCTGATCTTCCCCAGGCCCCATAGCACCTGCCTCTCCCCTTCAAGCCCAGTTTCCAGAGTCTTCTTTCTCTCAAGTTCAGGTCCTCCCTCTGCATTTCCCCTTGAGGCTGGGATGGGGTCAGAGCCCAGACTCAGCGGCTTTTGCGTCCCTGGGAGAAACACCAGCCTGAGAGAGAGAGAGCTGTGGATGGTCGGACTCTCAACCCAAACCTTCTTCTCCGGCTCACGCACTGTCCCTCTTGGCCCAGTGCATTTGTTGGCTAATTTCCTTCTTCCCACGGGGGAAAGGAGAGGGGGTTCACTCTGTCCAGTTTTCTCAACAGGCCCTGCTGAACAGAGGGATCGTGGAGCTGCTCTTGACCTCTGACGCGGAGAATGACGTGCTCCAAGGCAGCATAAAAGGAGGTACGCACAGGCGTATTTTCTGGGAGCACGGGAGCTCTTCACCCGCCGGTTTGAGTTTTGAACAAGCGTGAGGAAGAGCCAAGAATAGCTCTGAGGCCTCTCTTTGCCATGCACATTGAGGTGGACCCTGGCGAGGTGGTACCGCTATGAGAACCCAAGGTCAAAGCAAAGAGTTCCCATAGCAACGCCATCATTTCCCTCGATCCTACTTTCCTTCAACAGCAGCTGCCAGGGAGCTCTTCTGTCCGCAGCCCACCTTTCCACCTTTATTTACTTATTTATTTATTTTTTACTTAAATGTATTGGGGTGACGTTGGTTTGCAAAACCATACAGGTTTCAGGTATACAACTCAACAAAGCATCATCTGCACGCTGCATCGTGCGCCCATCACCCCAGGCAAAGTCTCGTCTCTTTCTGTCCCCATTTTCCCCCTTTGCCCACCTCCACTTACCCCCAGGTCTAATTCCTAGGTCTAATCAATTTGTGTGACTTTGGCCTGTTCCATTTCTCTGCACAAAATATGGTTAGTTCTAACTGCCCTTCTTCCGTAACATTGTCCTTGCAAATGCCCAGTGACAGCCCTTTGCACGTTGCAACACGGGATACAAGTAGTATCTCAGTAACTCACTACTCAGCACACTTCCTTCCATGTTCAAGGCATGGACCTCTGTCCCTCCCCTGGCAGCACTTGCCCCAAGGCCTCATGCAGCATCTCTCCTTTCTTTCTACAGTGCTGGCCACCATCAATATAAATTCATTTCAGAAGAATACTTTCGAGCACCTTGAGAGAGTGCAGGTAAGGATGTCTTAGAGAGGAAGAGTCGTAGCCCCTTCACCTGCCATGACCACCCCCTCTCCCCTGGCCCCAACCTGTACAGCTGGTGTTCAATGAGGATAGGAGGCTTGACAAAGACTATACAGCTTTTCTCCTGAGGCCTCACCTAGTTTCCAAAGTGTCTTGGGGAGTTTATCTGTTTCGTCAGGGGGAATAAGGAGGAAATTCTGCCTCTGTCCCCTCTGTTTGTGGAGCACCTAATGGAGATGACCAGAGGAAGGGGCAGGGGTTACATGAGGTCAATCAGAGGGAAAGGATGCTCTCTTTTCTCTGAGAGAGCAGAGCTCAGAAATGAGCCATGTGCATTGCTGACGGAGGAGACTGCTCTGCAGGCCTAGGCTGGCTGTGGGCAGCAGCTCCCAGAGCCTTATGGGAGTTTGGCAGGATGGGGCTAGCGTAGCTCACCAGGCTAATGCTCTATTGGAGGGGAATGCAGTGTTGGAAGAGGGACTCAGCACAGGAACATTGGCGGCTGTCCCTCCAGCCCTCTCCCGAAAGCCACACAACCCAGTCTCTCCCTTGATGACTCAAGTCCCCTCAGAGCTGCTGTTCCTCTGCTGAAGCCCAGGGTGCGTGCCCGTGAGTGAGATTTTGTGTGCTGGTCCTTTAAGAGAGCACCTGGGTTTCTAGCAGACGCCCATCTCATCTGGGCAGACGCAATCCCTGCTGATTTTCACAGCCCATGTTATAGGGGCTCCTCTTCCCAGCACTGGGCTCCAGGCTGGGGAGCTCAGCATGGGGTTGAGACCCCTCACTCCTCAGGGGGAACCTCTGCGGCTGAGATATCCCTCCAGATTCTCAGTCGCCACACGTGGGTGCAAGGCCAGCCCTTTTTTGCACCTCTGCCCCTCCTACCCGTCTCAACATGGTTTCTTCTGCATCTCTTAGTTATAGGACTTCTATTCGGCTGGTCTTCAGATGGTTCTCCAGGTTGATTTTTCTACAATTTAGTTGTGATTCTGATGTGGCCCAGGGAGGGGGTGAGTGGAACTCCCTCTTACGCGCCATCTTGGATTCCTCCGAATGATGTCGTTAATCGACAATATAATTCCGTGGCTGCTAGTCTGGCTCAGCCATGGACTTGAGTTGTGTCTCTGACCTTACAGCATGTGACCCTTGAGCTTCAGTTTCCACACGAGGACTTGCAGTCAGGTCTTTGTGATTCCAAAGCTGATTCTTTCCACACCAGCTTCGAGAATGACAAGGTTGGAATGATAGAAGGTGATCAGGATGTCTAGGGAAATGGAGATGCAAGAGGTGTAACGGGCTGACTTGGAAAAAAGTGAGAAGCCCAAGTTCCTCCAACTCTCATCCGTTGTATTCAGTGTTTCCGACTTTTTTTCTTTTTGTCTGACTTCGTGTTTCATTTGGTTTGTTTCTAGAGAGATAAGCCCATTATGATTATGGAATATTGGGTTGGCTGGTTCGACACGTGGGGAGGTAAACACATGGTTAAAGATGCGGACGGTAAGTGTTTCTCAGTGTTTGGACCAAGTAGAGGTGTCCCGGCTCATGGGTCATTCACACACTTCCCTGCTAGTCCATCAGCTCATTCAACCACGACTGTCCATTCAACACATGGTCCGGACGGGGACGTGGCTAGGCCTGGTGGTTCCCTGGTGAAGAAAAATTACCTGGTTCCTACCCCAGGGAGCTTGTGTTCTAGTGGAGCTGACAGATAGGCAAGAAGTAAAACACTCACTATCTGACAAGTGCTTGAAGCAGACAAAGAGGATGCAGTGACAGGAAAGACAGGGACAGGCCCGCAGAGGGGCATCAAGGGGGTGGCGGAGGGCCTCTGAGAGTAGGACATCTCTGAAGAAGGGGATGCATTTGCCAACATTCTTTTTAAAAAATGTATTTTTATTGATCTCAGAGAGGAAGAGAGAGGGGGAGAGAGAGAGAAACATCAATGATGAAAGAGAATCATTGATCAGCTGCCTCCTGCATGCCCCCTACTCGGGATCGAGCCCGCAACCTGGGCATGTGCCTCTGACTGGAATTGAACCTGGGACCCTTCAGTCCGTAGGCCAACGCTCTAGCCACTGAGCCAAGCCAGCTAGGGCCACTCGCCAACATTCTTAATCATCTCTGGGGATTACATAGGCCATTGCTGGG